TGTGCTCGCGGCGCCGTGCGCGCGCGCGGCTTGGGCCGCGGGTCGCACCCCACGCGCGTGGCGGGAGGAGCCTCGAGGCGCCGAGTCCCGGGGCGCTCGGTGGCGGCGGTCCACCGGCGGCCGCAGCGGCGAGGGCCCGGCTGGGGACCGGCCGGGGGACCGGCCGTCACGTGGTCTCGCGCGCTTTTCTCATTGGGCGCCCTCCGCGGCCGCTTCCGCCCGCAGGAAAGATGGCGGCGGCGCCGTCGCCGCCGTGAGGTCGTGCCGATCGCACGGCCCCTCGCCCACCTGCACGCCGCTTCCCGCAAGAAAGATGGCCGCGGCCTGAGCTGACGGTCGGCGGCGTCGCGGGCGCTGCGCTCTCCGGACCCGGCGCGGGGAGCGAGGCCGGTGAGTGAGGCCGGGGCCGCCGCGGGCGCAGGGCCGAGTGACCCCGCCGCGCCCTGGGCCGGGGTTCGTCCGCCGGGCGGCCGCTGTGGGCCTGCCTGGGGCTCGAGGCCCTCAGCGGCTGGTCTCCTCTTGGCCGAAACCCAGGAGGGCCCCGCGGTGACCTTGGACAAGCTGCCCAACTTCTGTGTGCCTCGGTTTCCGCGTCTGCAGCACGCGGGCCGTGATCCCGGCGGTAGGGTTAGAAGATTTGAAGTCGTGTGGACGGTCCTGGGTGTCGGGCCCGCCATGGCAGCTGTGAACGCTGGTGGGGCTGCTCCTCAACCCCACCAGTGCGTGTTTAGCCCCAAGAAATAGCCTAGTTTCACCAGAACGGAAACCCAGGGATGGCGAAGAAATATCCCCTCCACTCAAGGTGTCCCCAGCCTCCACTTAGCAAGGGTTTGCCGTGTCCTTGTCAGGAACTGAGAAGTCCCGTTCTAGCGCCGGGCGGAGGACCGGGGACCGCTGCCTGCACAGCGCTAGGAGGAATAGTGTGAAGTGGGGGAAGAAGTTTCGCTTGATGGTCTCCTGATGTAATTCATAGAGTCAGCAGTCTTTGTTCTGTCAAGGAGCAAGGTACAGTCTTTGCACACATCTGCGTTTTTATGACTGTGGTTAAGGGAGTCAACAAACACCAGGAGGAAGTTGTCCTGGTTCTTACCCAGTGCTTCCCTGACCGGGTGAGCAGGAATAGAATTAATCCTCCAGCAGGAAAGGAAGAAAACCAGACGTGAGCACCTGTGTCCAAGGTTCCTGTCCTTGGAGGACCTAGGCTTGAGTGACTGCTGTGTGCAGATAGCGCCGCAGGTGCCAGGACAGCGAAGCTGAGTAAGATAGGACCGAAAAACTGGAGATTCAGTCAGCCTATGTTCAGGGAACAGCTATAGCACACGGAGGTGGGGCCTGAGCTGCACCTGCAAGACTCGGGTTTGCCAGCTGGACAGCCTGGGAAGGAGCAGGGTTATGGGCGGAGGAAACCAGAGTTCCCTTTAGGGTACGTGAGGTTTGAGGCTCTGTGAACCCCTGCTCCCTGCCAGGACTGAGCACACCGAGGGATTTCCTGGGCACTCCAGCCTTCTTGGATGTGAGCAAAGGTGTGTGTGTGTGTGTATGTGTGCATGCACGAGTGTAGATACATGTGCATATGTATGTGTAGCTGTGCACATGTGTGTGCACATGGATGTGTTCAGGGACCATCACGGTGGGGGGTGGGAGGGGATGGACCCCCACTGGGTGGCTGTGTTTGCTGGCACCAGGCCTTGTGAACCCTTTCCACTCAGGGTCACCAGAACTCACAAATCTTGGGAAAACTGAGGCCACGGAGGTCAGATGACTTAGCCAAGGTCATAGTGCTTGAGTCCAGATCTGGAGAGTGAGTGACCTTAATGCCACGCCTCCGTGCCATGAGGCCAGGAGGGGCGGAGTCAAACTGTGCTGGCCAGCTTCGCTATGGGTGTTGGGGGGCACATCAGCCCCCTTGAGGTGATGACAGCTTTGTTGGAGAGAGACAGAGCTGGAAACCCAGTGTCTTTAAAAAGGGAATAAAATATCATGGGAGGTCTGGATCCTGTAAATCCAGGCCTTCCGTTTCCTGTTACAGAGCAAGTATGTTTAATGAAGTATTTGCTAGTCCCACTAAATGATAGGTACGTGTCTTCTCTGCAGACTGTTAACTGCTCATCCTCAGCCTGCAGCTCTGCTGGGGACACGGAGCCCTCTGTGGCACCCGGGCTCAGTCTGGAGCCGTGACGTCACTTGCTTCTCTGTGCCCCCGGCCGCCAGCCCACACCTGGAAGCCGTCCCACAGTCTGGGCCCCGCGACAATGGCATCCAGGCAGGCTCCCCTCTGCGGCCTGGCTCCGTGCTGCCTCTGGCTCCTGGGGGTGGTCCTTCTGATGGACGTGTGTGCACGGCCCGCCAACCACTCTTCTGCTCGGGAGAGAGCCTCCAACAGGGAGCAAAACGAGATCCTGCCCCCAGACCACCTGAACGGGGTGAAGCTGGAGATGGATGGGCACCTCAACAAGGACTTCCACCAGGAGGTCTTCCTGGGCAAGGACGTGGACGGGTTTGAGGAGGACGCAGAGCCGCGCAGGAGCCGCAGGAAGCTGATGGTCATCTTCTCCAAGTAGGTGGGGGGCTGTGCCCGGTGTGCAGGGGCTGTGGGACCTCCCTGCAGGGCAGCTGCCATCAACTCTCTTCCTCAGTCACGCCTGGGAGGGGTGTGGGGTTGGGCTGAGGAGTGTGCCGATGCCCCGAGCTGTCCAGGGCAGCTTGGAAGGGTCTCTTCGTGGCCGGCTGCCCCTTGCAGGCTGGCAAAAGCTGCTGGAAGGCCTCTAGCCAGTGTCTTCTGTGGCTAAGGGCAGAGGACTAGGCGGGGCTGTGGTGACAGCAGGTTGCAACACCAGCCAGGCCACAGGGCTGAGGGAAGGTGTGGGTGTCAGCTGCCCAGGTACAGGTGTGGCTGTCCTGGCAGGTCAAGGGGCTATGGTGAGTGCTTGGGGCTCCTCCAAGACCCCGTACTTGTGCGTTTGCAGATCTCCACTGTACGAGGTTAGGAAACGTGCGTTTGTGGGCAGGCAGGTCTGTTACTGTCCTTTTGGCCCAGAGCCCAGGTTGCTTTCCTCTTCCCTAGCTGCCAGGAGCAGAGCCACCCTGCGAATCTCAGAGCTCCTGCTGCCCATCCCTAGTAACACGCTTTCTCCCCTGTCCTGGTTCCTGGAGCCTGGCTAAGGTCCCGAGATGGGTGGTCCGGACCATTCGGCCTGGGGAGGCAGGTGTAGCCATGCTCACCCCAGGGCCCAGCTGGGGCAGCCCTGAGCCCACACATGTCAGCGTCTCTGTCGTCCTTGTAGGATGCTGGGCGTGGCCCTGGGTCAGGAAGTGCCACTAGTCCTCCAGGACGGGCTGCGGGCACCAGGCGAGAGAGGCTATGGACGCCCCCAGCCACTGGGCCCCACCACAGAGGCTGGCCTTCCCGGGTGCTGTCCAGGGTCATGGAGGGGCAGATGCTGGACCCCATGAACCAGAGGGTGGGACCAGGCCCTGGGCTAGGGCTGGGCGGCCACCTGGGATCGAGCCTGTGGTCAGAGCACAGGTGGGCTGGCAAGACTGAAGCCCCCAGGAGAGGTGGTACAGCACCAGGACCTGGGTTCCAAACATGGCGTCCCTACGCACGTCTCCCCAACGGGACAAGCGGGGTTTCTCCAAGGGCGCATCTTCATTTGTTAGTGACTTGACCGACCTGCTTAGATGCCGCTGGTGCTCCCTGGTCTCCATCTGAGCTGTTGGTCCTGAGCCGTGCAGGGAGAGAACCGCTGTCCCCGGCTCAGGCGGGCTTCTGGGGTGGGCTGGAGCCCCTGGGCGAGGAGGTCTGCGCTGGCTGCTCCTGCCCGTCTTCCGAGGGTGGGTGGGGGCTTCTCTCTGGTCCCTCCCTGTGAAAGAAACCACGAGCTGTCTCGTCTGGGGACACGCAGAAATGACCGGATGTCAGCGCTGCACGTGCGGGTCAGAGCTTCGCGGCGGCAGCTCCTGTGGACACGCCTGGGCTTGGTCCCCGTCTCTCGGGTCCCCATGTCCTCTGTCAGCCCCAGGACCCCTCTGGGATCCCACGTTGCATTTCGTCGTCTCGTCGTCTTAGGCTCTTCCTAAGCCGTCTTGGGCTGTGTCACCCTGTCAGACTCCCTGTTTGTTCCTGCCCGTGTCAATTCTGAGGAGGGCTGGTCGGGCGTCTGACAGAATGTGCCTCCGTTTGAGTTCGTCTGATGTGTCTTCTGGTGACGAGACCGGGTTGTGCGTTTTTGAAAAGAACACCCGGAGGGGAGGTGCCGGCCTTGCCCCGTCAGGACATCCCTGACGTCCGCAGACACCCCTGGGATGTCGACCTGGGTCACCTGGTGAAGGTGGCGTGTGCCAGGTGTCTCCCTGTAGAGTCGCCCCTTTTCCGTGTCCCTGCTCTCTGGAAGCAAATCACTGGGTCCGGCCCACCCGTGGGGGCTGGGAAGGAAGCCCCCCTCCCGCAGGGCGAGTGTCTGCGGAATGTTGCTGGGACGTCTTCCGAGAGGAGGCTCTTTCTCCCCGCGTGTTTATTTACACGCCTGTGGATTCACGACGTTTGCTGTACGCTTGGGGTGCGGTCCAGTGCGGTGCCGTTTATTTTGCTGCTCACGTTGTTCCAGCTGTGGCCACTGGGACGTTTTTTACCTGGCGCCTCCGTCCTGTTTTGTGAGCACCTCCTTCCTTTCTGGCACCGTAAGATGCTCCAGGCTCGTCCGTGTATTCCCTGCCCCAGCCCTGGTTCAGCCGCTTCTCCAAGGAGCCCTGGTTCCTGTGATTGGAGATGGTCTTGGAAACCAGGATCTGGGCTCTGGGTGTTGTTGCCTGTAGTCCTCTCAGCTGACAGAGCTTGGTGACGCATGCGTGTGTACTAACTTGTCTACGTGTGTGCGTGCCAATCCTGTGCACAGGAGTGTTTGCTAGCCCTGCATACGTGTGTGTGTGCTGTGTGCACACGTGTGCCAGCCTGTGCGTACACATGTGCACGTGCTGTGTGTGCACCTGTTCTAGTCTTGTACACACATGTGCGCGTGCTAACCTGCGTGCACACAAACGTCTGTAGCCGTTTCTTATCGGCTGTGCCTATGTAGTGAACACAACTTCTCACGGGCATCTGGACTCTCACCCTTTCTTTGCACAGACATCTTTGCATCTGTAGCTTTTCTCCGAGTGGCCGTGGCCACGTGTGGGGGACGTTGCGGAGCAGTCGGTGCCCCGAGCATCCCTGACCACTGACCCCCACCTGCCGCACAGCCACCCCGGGCAGCCTCTTCCCCGCGGCTGGCACGTCCTTGAGGGGACTGTGCAGGGGGTGCCTCTCAGGCCTCTGTCCTGGTGGCCGGGCTTGTGCTGTGGGGGGTGGTGCTGGGGCCCGAGGGGCGGCCCTGCCTCCCTCCCGTGACGATCTTTGTTGGCTCCTCTTTGAGTCTGGCTTGTGCTGCTGCAGCGGAGCACCGCAAACGGGGCAACTCGTAAACGCTTCCGGAGCCTGGACGTCCGAGGTCGAGGGGCCGTATCTGCCGCCCCTTCTTGCTGCGTCAGAACACGGCGGAAGGCATCGCACGGCCCGAGAGCGTGCGAGAGGGAAGGGGGCCGAGGGTCCCACTCCCGGGATGACACCGTCAGCCCAGTCTTGAGGCAGAGCCCTCTTGACCTCATCACCCCCGAAAGGCCTCCCCAGCGCTGTTGCTCCGGGAATTAAGTTTCCCACATGAACTTTGCGGGGCACGTTCAAGCCACAGCAGAGGCACAAGCCTCTGGGTTTTTATGAGGACGTGGTGTGGAGGCCTCATTCCGTGTAGAGCTGAGTGGCAGTGGCCCTTCGTCTGCCCACAGGTGGGACCTGCTGGCCTCCTGCCACCGTGAGCCTTGTGTTTGTGTCCCCTGAGTCCCTGGGTCTGTTCCATTCTTGAACACGTTAGGTCCCCAAGAGGTCTTTTCCAAAATCCTGTAACTTTACGTTCACGTGAAGGTTTTTGCCTGGTCGTACCTGAGGCATCTAAAGTAAAGTGCACAGAAGGTGACTGTGGCAGCTGTTGCTAATGAGCCCGGGAGGGAAGTTGCCGCTGTTGCTCGCTGCACACAAAGCCAGTTGCCGAGGCGTGGACTGTCCAGCCAAAAAGGTTCACTGCAGAGGACGCAGCCGGAGATGAGCGGAGTGGACTGTCTCAAACCTCGCTCCCCGGCCGGGGGTTTCTGGAGGGGAGGTGAATAATGCAGGAGGGAAGTGACCATCCGCACGTGTTTGGGGTGAGCGCAGGGCGTGCAAGTGCAGTGAGAAATCATGCTAGTACATAGGTCGCGTGATCAAAACACGGCGGATAAGCCCCTCCCAGGGCGGGGGTTTCAGTGTTATAATGAGCTAGGGGTTAACACTGGTCGTTCTTTCAGCCTGTGCCGGCCCAGTGGGTCTTTGGGCAGGGTCTGTGGTGGGTGTCCTTGTCCTGTTCTCTCCGGACACTGGTGGTACCAGACTTTGTAGTTATCCTGTGGTTGCAAGGAGGTTCTGCCGTTGCTGGGGAAAAAACACCTCAAAAAGGGACTGGATCAGTGCAGCAGAACGTTACAAAGTCCTGGTCAGCAAACCTTACCGGTCTGGCAACTTGAAACACAAGAACCACGAAGGGCGTTTTTGTCCATGGAGCGGGGTAACCACGGCTGCGATGGAGGGTCGGTGCGGATCCCGCCTCCTGTGCTGCGGGGCTGGGAGGTCTGTGGCCTTCCCATGGACCATGGGGTGATGGGCTGTGGCCCCCGTGTCCCCAACAGCTCTTGATGCCTCCAGCAGCCCCCTTCAGCCGTGTCCCTGCCGTTTCCCGTGGGTGGAGGGTGGTTTTGTGGCGGGCACAGCTGCGTGGGTCCTAGGGTTGGTCTGACGCCTACCCACCCGCAGGGTGGACGTGAACACGGACCGGAGGATCAGCGCCAAGGAGATGCAGCGCTGGATCATGGAGAAGACGGCCGAGCACTTCCAGGAGGCCGTCAAGGAGAACAGGGTGCACTTCCGCGCCGTGGACCCCGACGGCGATGGTGCGGAGGGGTGGGGACCGGCTGAGGGGCGTTGGGCGGGGGGCTGAGGGGTGCGCGGCCACCAGGCTGTCCGCGGGGCACCGGGCCGGCTCCACGTCCTCTGCAGAAAGGTGCCGAGCAGCCCAGGGTTTGACCTGGAGACGGTGGCTCGGCAGACGTGCAGGCCACGTGCCTGTGCGCGCCGCCCCCATGCCGGCCGGTGGCGCGAGACCTTCCGGGCTTCGCGGGTGCGGCCCACTGTCCATGCGCAGCGGGATTTCACCCCCTCCTGGATGGACCGGGTCCTCTCTCAGATCTGCTCACGGCTGGACCCTTGCAGGCCGAGTGTCGTGGGACGAGTACAAGGTGAAGTTCTTGGCGAGCAAAGGCCACGACGAGCAGGAGGTTGCTGAAGCCATCAGAAACAACGCAGAGCTCAAAGTCGACGAGGAGAGTAAGTGCTCAGGCCCTGCTGGTGGGGCATAGGGTGCGGGGTGTTGGTGTGGGGCTCGGTGGGGGGGCGTGGCCGGTGTCAGTTCCAGGTGGGGGGCGTGGCCGGTGTCAGTTCCAGGTGGGGGCGTGGCCGGTGTCAGTTCCAGGTGGGGGGCGTGGGCGTGGTCTGTCGCAGGAGGGTGGAGGGGCCCCACCTAGGCTGGGGGTTCTGCTGGTGGTGCCAAGGCTGACCTTCCTGGGCTGCAGTCCGGGCTGGAGCCTGCCCGGCTGTGCAGGAAGGCTCCAGTGCACCTCCTGTGCCTGTGTACTGGGCATGCCCTGGCATGTTTGTGTGTGCACACATGTGGGTGCTACATGGAGTGCACGTGTGTGTTCATCTTGACCAGTGTGGGCGGGTGTTGGCAGGGGGAGAAGCAGGCTGCTGCCCATCCCCCACCCACAACGTCCTGCCCTAGGGTCCTGTGGGGGGGGGCGTGGCCCAGGCTGCTCCCGGGTGCGCCTGCTGTGGTGGCACTTTGGACAGCAGGTCACACGCTAGTCAGATCCGGAGAGAAGCCTAGAGCAGCCAAGGCGTGAGGCGCAGGACAGGTGCCCTACACGCAGGCAGGGAGGGCCCAGCTCCTAGGTGGGGGGTGCCGCCGGACGGGGGCTCCCAGGCCCTAGAAGAGGCGGGCCACATCCAAGCCCACATCTGAGGAGGCCTGGCCAGACGTCCTGTGTGGCCACCAGGCCCCTGGGTCCCCCCGTGGGTGGGAGGGTGTGGGCCGGCCAGCCTGCGGGGCCGGGGCATCTGTGTGGATCCAGTCTTGTCCTTTCTTAAACAATTCGAAGACCCTTTAAAACCTTTGACCCCCCGCACCCCAGTCCTGTTTGCGTGATGTCACTAGGACTTGGGTTCTGTTCTTTGTAAACTCTACGAACTGGGCACCGTTATTTCCTTCCCAAATGGTGTTTGCATTTCCCTGCTGTTTCCATTGGGTTTCCCCGTTGGTGCTGTGTTTCATGCTGTCCCCGAAGGTGTCCTGTACTGTTGGAGGGTCCTGGGGGGCCCTTGCCCTGCCAGTGAGATTCCACTTGGGGTGAGTTCGGCCAGCCCACAGGTGGCTGCTGAGACGCAGGGCTGGCCCCTGCCCCACACCCCAACTCTGGTGCCGTTTCACTCGGGCATGTCTGTTCTGTCTGGGACACGTCCTTCCTGGACCTAGATCTTCGTGGCATCTCTGAAGGCCCTTCCGCCCTGTGACGTGGTGGAGGTGTGCTTAGCAGTCAGTCTGTGTTCTGGGGTCCCTGTGTGCCCTGCGGTGCCCATGCGTGCCCGGCTGCGTCTGACCTGCCTGCAGCCTGTGCATCGACTCCCTGACCTCTACGCTGCAGCTCCTTGTTGGTCTGCGGGCCCTGGGAGGGAAGGTGGGACACCTCGCAGGCACCGCCCCAACCCCATCCGTCCCCTGCGAGGCTCCTGGGAGCCCTGCAGCTGCCGTGCGCGTCACACTCGGTTCTGGGGGCCGAGGTGCAGGTGTGTGGGCTCCTGCTGGCCCCAGTGGGGGGGTCATCCCGGCCCCTCCAGCCTCTGCTGGCACGTGAGCAGCTCCTCTCTGGACCTCTGTTGGCATCTTCTTCCGGGGACACCAGTCATTGGACTTAGCCCCACCGTGATCTGGGATGACCTCTTTTCCAGATCTGTCGCGAATGACAGCAGCAGAGACCCTCTTTCCAAATAAGGTCCCACTCGCAGTGCCCGGGGACACGGGACACAGGGCTTCTCAGGTTGGCCTGAGGCTGTGCCCAGGGCTGGCAGCACAGTGTGAGGACCCTGTGCTGTCTTGGGTCGGCCTGTCCTAGGAGCCTGTGCTTGTCCTGCTTGGGTCTCGGTTCACCCCGTCTGTCCATCCCGGGAGCTGGGAGGGGGAGAGGGACGCCCATGGCCCCCATCTGCCTTCCAGGGGCTTTGTCAGGGGCAAGGAGGTCGCACAGTTGTCCGTGCTGACTGGAAGGTGGATGGGTTTGAAGCGGGGCTGGCCTCGGCAGGACCTGGTGAGGCTGTGGCAGGGCACGTGGGCGGTGGGGCGAGTGAGGCCTGGACACAGGGACACGGCCATTGGCGGTGGCGAGTCCCAGGCTGGGTCGGGACCTCCTGTTTCTCCTTGGAGACCGAGACAGGCCCTGGCCCTGCCTCAGGGACACTCGGGGGCCTCAGGACAGGCAGGGGCCACTGCTCCAGGCCTCCTGTGGCGGGAGCATGAGGGCGACACACCCAGACGCTTCGCTCGGTCCGAGCTGAGAGTCCGTGGGAAGCTCTGAGCAGCCACGACCTCAGTCATTTCTAGAAACTGGGTTTTCCTCCGGCACCGCGTCCTTCGTGTGATGTCGCACGTGAAACAGATGGAAAGGAACAGTGTGACGCCTTTGTTCCTACACACGCTGTTTCACAGGTGAATCAGTGCCATGCGTCATTTCCACCTCCTTCCAAGGAACAAACAGCCGTGAGTGGGGGGTCTGGCCCTAACTTGGGGTATCTGGTGGTTTTGGGGGCTCTGGGTTGTCTAGGGGCATCTGGGCCACATCTGGGGGCATCTGGGAGAGTCCGGGCTGTGTCTGGTGGGTCTGAGCCATTTCGAGGGGGTCTGGGCCACGTCTGGGCACGTCTGGGCCATTTCTAGGGTCTTGGCCGTGTCTGGGGGATCTGGGTCATGTCTTGGGGGCAGGGGGGTCTGGGCCATTTCCAGGGTTCTGGGTCGTGTCTGGGGGGTCTGTGCGTTGCCTCCCCCAGGCCAAGCTGTCCTCCAGAGAGCAGGGCGCTGGGCCTCGTGCGTAGCCATATTCTATGTGTTGTTCCTGTGAGTTGAGAAAACATTTCTTAGAACTTTCTGGATTTGTGCACAGTCGTTGTGCCTCACAAGGTGCTCACAAGCTGTACCTTTCTCAGCACAGGAAGTCCTTGAGAATCTCAAAGACCGCTGGTATCAGGCGGACAACCCCCCCGCGGACTTGCTGCTGACGGAGGACGAGTTCCTGTCATTCCTGCACCCGGAGCACAGCCGGGGCATGCTCAAGTTCATGGTCAAGGAGATCGTCCGGGACCTGGGTGAGGCCCATCCCCACGCTGGGGGGCGGCCCTGTGCGGGGCACCCGCTAGGTGTGGGCAAACCCTAACGTGCGGAATGACCTTCGGGAGTCTCACTCGAGGTCCCACCCCCTGTCCCATCCCCCGTCCCGCAGACCAGGACGGTGACAAGCAGCTGTCTCTGCCTGAGTTCATCTCGCTGCCCGTGGGCACCGTGGAGAACCAGCAGGGCCAGGATGTGGACGACAACTGGGTGAGGGACAGGAAGAGAGAGTTCGAGGAGCTGATCGATTCCAACCACGATGGGATCGTGACCCCCGAGGAGCTGGAGGTAGGCGCTGCGGTGAAGGGGTGTCCCGGGGTCCGGCCCTGGCACCTCTGGGGGAGCCTGGGCCACCTTTAAAGGGAGCCACCTGGGTTCGGACCTGAGCCAGGAAGCGGCTTGGGGCGGCTGTGAGACTCGGTCCGCCGCGGGGTCTGGCTGGTCACTGGGTCCTTCACTCCGGGCTCCCAGACAGATGGGAGGGCACAGTGTGGCGTCTGTCCTGCCCTGGCTGACTCCTGGCACTGCCTGTGGGAGGTTCAGGGGATTCTGTGGCTCGTTTTTCACGGCCCGGACGGGAGAGCTCAGGCGGACGGGTTCTGAAGTGACCTCTGGGCCAATGCCGCGTGTGGGGGCGCGGGTGTGGGCGGGACTGACTGTCACGTGGCCCGAAGCGTGGGTTGGAATCCACAACCTTCCTCCGAAGCGTTTTCAGTGGTATCGCATTTGGGGCTTGTTTTTCTCCCGTTGCTGAATGAGTCATTGCATTTTACGCCAGAATCTTCTGACCCCGCTGACAGTCCAGGGCAGGTGGGGCTTAGGGATCCTGCCAGGATCGGTCCCTATGACCTCCGCTGGCCCTGGGCAGGCCTTAGCTTCTCCCTGCCCTGTGTCCTTCTCTTCCATGGCGTCTCCCTTCTGGAACGTTCCAGAATGTGCCCACATTCCTATCCTGCAGCCAATGGGGTGTTTTCACCAGAAATCCCTTTCTGTGGGTGGGGGTAGCGTCAGAGCCGCTGCTCACGTAGACGCGGTGTTCCTGTTGGGACGTGCTTTCACCTCATAGCCGCGTCCTGATGTGGGGGACAAGCTGGGTTGGGCCAAGTGGGGTCCTCCACGTTCACGGGGCGCAGGTTGGGGGCCTGGTGAGGAACAGGAACCAGATGTCCCCGGGAGCAGCAGCTCACGGGCCCTGGCCGCCGAGGGGGGTGGGAGGGCGGCCGACCCACGCCCGGCGCCCGTTGCAGAACTACATGGACCCCATGAACGAATACAATGCCCTCAATGAGGCCAAGCAGATGATCGCCATCGCGGACGAGAACCAGAACCACCACCTGGAGCCCGAGGAGGTTCTCAAGTACAGCGAGTTCTTCACGGGCAGCAAGCTGATGGACTACGCCCGCAACGTGCACGAGGAGTTCTGAGCCCCGGCCCGGGCTCCTTCCTGACCCTCCACAGCCCGCCAGGGAGGTGACTGCGCCGCGCTGTCCAGAGCCCGCCCTTCCTCCTGCTGCCCCCATGCGGCTGGGCCCGGGTCATTAAAGATGTGCTGTAACAGGCCGCCAGCCCGCCCCAAATCACGCGGCTGCGGCACAGCGCTCAGCGGCGTCTCTGTCCTGCCGTCCCCTGAAACCGCTGCATCTCGCTTCTGAGAACTGCCCAGAGTCGCTCTGCTGAAGGCACCGACCACATCAGGGCAGGAGGCCCTGGGCTGGGCCCCTGCGAGGGCCGTGGGGAGAACGCACTTCCCGCCGTTTCCTTGAAAAGCGACAGATTAAACAGAACCAGGTGTGCTGAGCTGGAGAGGAGCGGCCAGGAAGTTCAGGCGAGGACGCCTGCTCCTTCCCAGCGCTGGGTGGGTCCGCCCTGGCACGTCAGAACCACCCTGAGAAAATGCAAATATTTGTTGTAACAGGAATCACATCACTTACTTTGAAATATAGTTGTCTTTTTCTCTCAGCTTCATTCTTCGGGTGAAAATAAAACAAAAAGCAAAATTTGGAACATTTGTGGCCAGGTGGCTTCCACTCGAGGCATTTGAGGTGGGCAGTTTGGTTAACGCGGAGGGCTCGTAGCTTTCGCCGAGCACTTTGCCCCTGATCCTCCCGTCCGGACCTGGGGGCCGCGGGCGTCCGGGGGCTGGGGGGCTGCAGTGTTTGTGGGAAGGGGCGGGGGCAGCAGGCAGGCGGGTCACGCCGGGGGTCTGGGCTGGGCGTGTGAAGTCAGGAGCCAGGGCCTGGGCCGTGGTGAGCTGGTGGGTCTGGGTGGTCCCAGGGCCCAGCCCGGGGGCCAGAGAACGGGGGTGTGAGGACGGCTCGGAGGGTCCCGCTCTGTGGCACGTGAGGGCCCAGGGTCCGTGTCCCAGCTCTCCAGGCAGAAACTTGGGGCTCCCAGGAGCACCCTCTCCTCTGCCTGCCACGTGACCTACTTGCAAGCAGTGTGGAGATTTCTGCGTGGGCTTTTCCTAGTCAAGGCCGGAGTGCCGGTGGGAGGAAGGTCCCTGCAGCCCCCTCCTGCAGGCTCCCCTCCCAGCGCTTGTCACCGTGGGCCCTGCCAGGAGGGTCACTGCATTGTGTGCTGTCCCGAGGGGACGCACCGCAGAGGTGGGCCGTGTGAGAGCTGAGGCCACACTGGGCTGGGTGCACAGCCGGGGTGCGGCAGCAGCTGGCACCCAAGGGACAGCAGCCCCCTGCGATGCCGCTGTGCTGAGAGGGGAGCCCAGCCCCGGGGCGTCCAGCTCCCGCCGGCGCTGCCTGGCCAGGAGCCCAAGCCCTGGGCAAGTGTCCCCAGCTCAGTGGACATAGCGGGGTTTCCCCCTGCTGACGCCTCTGACCTGTGCCCTGCAACCCAGGACAGCTTCCTGCGGGGGAGGGGGCTGGGGTGCAGGTGAGGCTCAGGCCTCTGTCACCTCTGGTCACCTGTAGCCAGATGCAGCCACTCAGCCGGATGTGTGTGTCCGCGGGCGGCAGAGAAGCCCCCACGTGTGCCTCAGCGAGGAAGGGGGTGCCCGGAGTGGAGTGGTGCCCACCAAGACCCCACGTTGATCTGAACCTCGGAGGAACCACTTGCAAATGTGATATTTTTCTATCAGTGGGAGACGAAGTTTGAGAGCTGGATCGAACCTTCCAGAAAATGCCGGAAGTCTCCTCGTTTGCCCACCCGGGTGGGTCACTCACATGTAGGCGCTGCCTTGGGTGCTCGGAGCCCCTGCTGCCCCCGGGACCCTCGGGTGGCCGGGGCCGGGGCTGCCTGCGCCCCACTCTCCCCCTGCGGAGCCTGGCCTGGCCTCTGCTCGGGGACTTCCCCGCAGGTGGGCCGAGGGGGAGGCACCTCTCTTACCTGAGCTCCTGGCGGGAGGGGATTTCCGGCAGCTCGCCCTGCCTGGGAGGCGCCTCTGCACTTGCAACTGCTGAAGTTAACTTTTGAGTAATCGTGTCATGGCCGCGAGTCAGAAGGTGCAAAAGGGCCACTCCAGGCCCCTGTGTCCAGGCCCAGGCCCTGCCTCGGGGTGGCCGCGGGGTCAGGGCGGTGTTGCGTGTGCACGGTGTGTGCGAGTGTGCTCAGCTGCGTCGGCAGGGCCTCTCGCCCTCCTCTGACCTTTGTCACCTCCTTAGAGGCCCCGTCTCCAAACAGCCACACTGCGGGTTAGGGGTTCCACTTGGATTTTGGGGGACACAGATCAGCCCATAAACACCTGCCCTGCTCAGGCACACTCGGCTGCTTGAGATGCACACGCACACGCGTGCACACACCCACACACACGTGTACATGCTGAGTGTGGGCCTGCTCACCAGGCGCCTGGTGGCCACTGTGGGTCTGAGCTAGCCTTAGACACCTGAGGACACCCCCCAAAGGTCGAGACTCGGGGAGAGGCCTTGCTGACTCATGCCTCAATTTACCCATGTGCTCTGTGCATCTTTGTGCTGAGGAGGTGAGTGGCAGCGGGGGCCCAAGAGCACCCGGGCCGGGAAGCACGGCCAGGTGGAGCAGGCGGGTCCTCGGTGTGCGGTGGGCACAGACCAGAGGGCGCCAGGGCCTGGCCATGCCCTGGCTGCGGGTGGCCTGGGGTCTGTGTGTGTGGGCTGGGGCACAGGGCAGGAGAGAAGCCCATGGCTGGGAGGACCCCAGACAGGCCACTTTCTGCAGCCAGCTGGGGTTGGGGTCGCCAGCCGGGGTTGGGGTCGCCAGCCGGGGTTGGGGTCACCTGCCTGCCTGGGGCCCCTTCCTCCTCCTCCTGCCCTCCCGCCCCGCCCCTCCCACAGCCCTTATAGCCACATCCTGCAAGGAAAAACTCAGACTCATTGCTCAGCGGAGATGAGGATGTGTGTGGGGGTTTGGCAGCCGGGGCCCGACGTGCCCGGCGCAGTCCTGCTGCTCCTGGTGCTGCTGCTGGGCGCTGCGGCTGGGCTCGACTGTGCCGGGGACACGTACCCCCACGGCGGCCGGTGCTGTCACGAGTGCCAGCCAGGTAAGGCCGGCTCCAGGGAGGGGGCATCTGCGGGGCTGCTCCAGGGGACCTGGATCCAGACCCGGGGCCATGGTCCTGGAGGGGGCAAGGGGCCTGCCAAGGCCCTGCCGCGGCCCCAAGAAGCCGGCGCAGTCCACAGGCCAGGGCCAGGCCCGACTGCTGACCGATACCGCCCGGCCTCCGCTATAGGCAACGGGATGGTGAGCCGCTGTGACCTCTCCCGCGACACCGTGTGCCGCCCGTGTGAGCCCGGCTTCTACAACGAGGCCGTCAACTACGAGAGCTGCAAGCCCTGCACACTGTGCAACCAGCGTGAGCCGCCCACCCCGACCCCGGCCCCGCCCAGCGCGGTGGGGCGACCGCTGCACGGGGCCCCCCACAGCCACAGGAGCAAACCCCAAACCACAGTGGGCCGAGGCGCCTCCTGGGGCATAGCCCTCCTCCCGGGGCCGAGGCTCAGCTGAGGCCACGTGGAGTCGGCGTGAAGAACGCTGTTCACGTGGCCTTGCTGCGCTGCCCCGGTGGTGAGGCCGGAGCCGGGGTCCAAGGAGGGCCCTGCGCAGCCGCAGCTGCAGGCTGGGGGGTGGGGGCTGGGCTGCCACAGGCTATCCAGGGGGAGGACCCCAGCGGAGGGCAGGGGTGCCCGGGCCCTTGGTGCCTAAGCCGCCCCCACCTCACGACTCCCCCTCCCCCGCCCAGGAAGTGGGAGTGAGCCCAAGCACAGGTGCACGGCCACGCAGGACACCGTCTGCCGCTGCCGCGCGGGCACCCAGCCCCAGGGCGGCTACAAGCGTGGAGTCGGTGAGCCTGGGGGTGGCCCCGGCGGGCAGGGGTGCGGGTGGCACAGCATGAGGCGGTTGGGGTGCAGGTGCCCCGATCCCAGGGAGGAGCCAGGCCTCATCGTGGCGCAGGCAACCCTGGATCCCCTGGATCCTGCGCCACAGGCCGGCGCCTCCCCTGGGTCGCCAGGACGCCCTCCTGGCTCAGCTCCTGGGTCAGGGCCGGTGGCAGGATGTGAGCAGGGAGGCCTCCAGGGGCCGAGCCCAGCCACGGCCAGGGGTGAGCACCCACCACCCCCGGAGTGTAGGGCCAGGGGCCGCAGGCGGCTGAGCCTGTCCTGCTCTGTTGCAGACTGCGCCCCGTGCCCCCCAGGCCACTTCTCCCCAGGCGACAACCAAGCGTGCAAGCCCTGGACCAAGTGAGTGTGTGGCCCAGGGCTGGGCGGGGGCCACAGGGCGGGGGCGAGTGGAGGGGGAGCTCTGGGGCCCAGTCCCCGGTGGCCGACCCCACCCCTGCTTGCTGTGGTGCCAGCCCCTCCCTGTGGGTGGATGGGGCGTGTGAGACCCCAGCCCAGGCCCGGGAGCATGTGTGAGGCCTTCACTTGTCCACAGTTGGAGGCCCCCCCAGGGCTCCCATTCCAGGGTTCGGGAGCACGGAGGCTACGGGGCTCAGGCAGGGATGGGGCAGGGACGAGGACGTGGGGTCTTGGGGACCTCTGCAGGGTAGGGGGACCTGGGGGCCTGCACAGGGTCCTTGGCCACCTCTGGCCTGGAGTCTGAGGCGGACGCCACCTGCGGCCGACCCATGTCCCTGGGCTCCCGGGCCTGACCAGTGCCCCTGCCCTCCCGAAGCTGTACCGCGGCCGGCAAGCGCACTCTGTGGCCGGCCAGCAACAGCTCAGACGCCGTCTGTGAGGACAGGAGCCCCCCGGCCACGCCGTCCTGGGAGACCCAGCGCCCCCCAGCCAGGCCCACCACTGCTCAGCCCACCGTGGCCAGGCCTGGGACATCACAGGGGCCCTCCACACCCCCCTCGGAGGACCCCAGGGGTAAGGGGGCCTGGCCTGACCCCAGCAGGGGAGCGGGGGAGTGGCGGAGGCTGGCAGGGGGCTGCCCTCTGACCACTCTGGGGCCTCCTCCCCGTAGGCTCTGTGCTCGCCGCCGTCCTGGGCCTGGGCCTGGGCCTGGGCCTGGGGGTGCTGGTCCCCCTGGCCACGCTGCTGGCCCTGCACCTGCACCGAAGGGCCTGGAGGACACCCCCGGACGCCCCAAAGGGCCCTGGTGAGTGCCCGCTGTGGGCCCAGCCCAGACCACCCAGGGGGGCTGAGACCCCCCACACCTCCCATCTCTCGCTCTTTCCTCCTCCCCAGGGGGAAACAGCTTCCGGATCCCCATCCAAGAGGAGCAGGCAGACACGCACTCCTCCCTGGCCAAGATCTGAGCCGCGTCCGCTGGGGAGGACTTGCGCCCCTCCCAGGTGGGGCCCCAGCGGGTTCCCGAGGCCTCGTGGGGCAGTGGGGGCGCCCCAGGTACAGTCTGCCACACCGGCCCCGCGCCGGCCACCACGCCCCCCACACCCCCCACGGGACCTGGGCCCGCCCGCACCGTTATAGGTGCGCCTGGGCGGGCTCCCGGGCTCTGCTATGTATGTTGTGCATACTCCCCGCCCGGGCAGCGCCCCAATAAAAACACTGACGGACGCCGATCTCTGACTGGGCACCGGGGCGTGGGGGCCGCACACTCTGGTGGCGCTGCTGGGAGACCAGCCCCTGGACGCACCCAGTGGGGGGGGCCGGGGAGCTGCCGAAGAGGCCCCGTGAAGGTGCAGGTTGGGCAGACACGGAGCCGCTGCTCCAAGATCCTAAAGCCTGGGCCGGGGATGCGTCTGGGTGGGCAGCGGCCGCAGGTGCTGCCGCGGGCAGGCGGGCACCCAGCAGCCTGGTCGCCACAGGGGCCCCTTTGTACTTGGAGGCGGGAACACGGGCACCTGTCCCTTCTCTCTCCGGCCCCCCAACCCCACCCCCTGCGACACCTCGTGGGTGGTGGCCCAGGACCCCCACTGGGAACCCCCCTGGGAGTCCCAGAGGACAGCACCGTCCCTGTGTCCCTGCGGTGGCGGTGTCCGGCGGGATAGCCACTTTGGAAAATGAGGTTTCTGATGAGCGAACCTTCTGTCCTCCGTGGACACGGCCAGTCTGCTCCTGGGCATTTGTCCCACAGGAGCCAGTGCCCTGGGACGTGAACAAGGGCGTCCACGTGACTTAGTGGCGGGAAACCCAAATAGCCACCAAAATGAACCGCAGCGTATTCGGGTGGGCCCACCGTCCGGCACCAAGCCAGCCCTGAGGGAAGGAGAGTGGACGGGACCCCAGGGCCCTGGAGCTGCCCCGGCTGCACGGGGTCCTCTGAGGCCAGTGTCTGGGGACCGGCGTCCTTTGGCTGCACAGGTGCACAGGTGCGGTGCTGGACCCCGGGCACAAGCCCCTGGAGGTGGCAGCTCAGAGAACAGAAGCAGAAACTGCACAGGAAGCTCCGACCCAGTGAGGAAATGGCCACGGGCGTGTGACCCACAGAGGTGGACCATGATGTGTGGCCCACACGGAAAGCCCCGTGGGGGGTGTCTGTAAAGTGTTTAAGGGCTATTAAGCGTCCAACATAAACACCCTGATGTGCTAAAAGGTCTCGCCCCGACTCGTGAGCAGGAAAGCAGATCCTGGCCGGGACTTTCTCCGCCAGACCTGGGCGCTCGAGCTGCGCAGCGGGAGCAGCCCCTCAGCCGGTGTCCCTGGGCCCGGCCCTTCCCTCTGTGCGGCCCCCTGATAGGGACTTTCCTCTCCCACCGCTGCTGGCAGGGCAGGGAAAGGGTCCCGACCCTCTACACTTGGCGGGGTCACTTGCTGCCTGGCAGCCACAGTGAGCCTGTCCCTGACCTTGAGTGGCCCTGGACTCTGCCCATCCGCCTTCTTTCTCTTCCCCATGAACCTGCAAAAGGAAGGCAGAGGCCGTCCTGCCGTCCACTCTGCTGCAACCCCATGGGCAACTCCTGCATGGTGGGGGCAATGGGCGCAGATCTGCACCCCGGAGAGCAGCCTCTGTGGAGGGCCAGGAGGTGGGTGGGGGTGGGCGGCCAGGGTCCCAGAAGGTTGAAGGTCATGGGAACTGGGAAAGGGCCTTCTCCACAAACTGTGCCCGCACCCACCGCCTCCTCCCCGCCGGGCACAGCCCTCCACCCGTGGGCCACCTGGTGCCTTTTCCCCAGCCAGGACACCGCTGCCCCCTGCCCCTAGACAGACATAGGTCACCTCCTCAGCTTCTATGCTGTCCCTAAGCCCACGCCCCCTTCCCACATGTGACACCCGTCTCTGCTGGAAGCTCCTGGACCAGCTCCACCCCAGGTCCTGCCTGGGCTCCAGAGCCTGCGTCCCGCTGCCCAGTCCTGCCACCGTGTGGACCGGCTCTCCACCTGGCAGCAGGGGCCGCACTGCCCTGAGGACACTCTGCTGCATGCACATGCGTCGCTTGTGTCGTTTCAGACAAAAGATGCAAACATAGGACGAGTTGCTCATAAAATACTGGAAAACACAGAAGAGCAGATAAAAATCTTCTCTGGCCCCACGAAACCACTCATTTGCCAGAGCCTCAGAGGAGCAGGGTGCCCGGGAGGGCTCTTCCGGAGCGAGCGGGACAGGAAGGCAGACGTGGGCTCTGAGTCACGGATGTCGCTCCCCTGGAGGCCCGTGCTCATAAGCCCTGAGAACGCTGGTGTCTGTGCTCACACGTGGCCGTCGCCACGGTGCCGCAGCCCAGCCAGGGGATGCCTGGCTGAGCCCAGATGCAGCACCAGGGACCCCTGGGGGACATCCTGCAGGGAGCTGCTCATGGGCTGGTCAAGGTGTCAGCTCCACCAGCCAGGCTTCCTGCCCCCGTGCCCCCTAAACCACACTTGTCCTCCTGACTCTGCCCCTGCTTCCGGAAGGACCAACTGACACACCAGGTCTGATAAGCATCATTCACAGGAGATGTGTCCTATCTTCTTAGGCCACAAGGCACTGGGTGCTCACCAAAACTGGGGGTGGCCCCGTGCTGGTGTAGACCTCTTAGGTCTTTCAAACAGGCAGGGGCGAGGTCCAGCCTGCTCTGGTTCTCCCCAAACACCTTTACCTGGCATCTAGGTTTGGTCTTGTGGCTTCTCTTTCTGTTCAAACGCTCAGACTGACCTCCCAGTCTAGGGGCTGAACAGAGACCTCCAGGCCCCTCAAAGGGGGCTGCCCGGTCGCAGCTGGCCTGCCCCCTCCCTCTGAGCCCCTGGGCAGCCTGGCCTGCAGCCGCCCCGGAGACCCCTTCCTCTCCTGCCGCGTCCAAGGGCTACCTCCCTTGTGGATCTCGGGACTCAAGGACAACCGGGGCTTACAAAGTTCTAATTCCTGTCGCTTCCCTTGGAAACGGTGCGGTCAGTTGGTGGCTGCGGGTCTCAAAGGGGCGTCTGCCCAGGTCTCCCGGGCCTGCCCCTGTCCCAACGGTGGCCAATCTCAGCCCGTGGGCACAACCACGGTACATTCCTGAGACCCGCTGGCCCAGCATCCCCAGAGATCTCCACCAGCTTCGCTGTGCTGAGCCTCAACCATGGGGCTGGGGACGCATCCCAGGACCCCTCTGTGCCACGGGGGGCCCTGGGCTCAGAAGGACATAGGACAGCCTCTGAGAGCTGGTCCTATTCTCCCTCCAGGGTGCCGATGTGTGTCGGGTGGTGGATCCGAGTGGCTCCGGAGAGAGCCAGAGCCAGAGGTCTGGGCTGGGACACCCAGGTTGACAATGACCCGGGCTCTGGCCTCTCCTCCCTGGCCCCTCCCAGTGGCCCTCCCCCGTCAGGCCCTGGCACCGCCGCTGCCAGCTGAGGGGATCCCCGAGCAGCAGGGACAGGGACGGACGCCCACCGGGCTGCACCTACAGGCATTTGTATGGGCGCCCTTCCCGTCTGCAGCCTGGCCGCCGGGTGGGCTGAGTGGGGTGCTTGCCTTGGTCGCCCCTTCAGGGTCCTCAGCACTGGGGCTTCATGGGTTTAGCCAGGACTTCTGGAGACTTCTCAGGAAATGAGCAATTTCATCCCACCTCCTCTGGGTGTGGAAATCTGCATCGCCTGCGGGGCAGCCCTGAGGAAGCTGGAGGTGGAGGCGGTGGGGGAGGCAGCCCCCAAACCCACCCTGTATCCGGGGGCCACTACTGTGGCCACGGATTTTGCACAGAAAACATTTCCGATCCTCCACCCCGGCTGCGTCCGCAGCGCTTACTCCCCCCTCCCCACGCCCGTCTTGGGGCAAACTTAAATCCGGATTGGAATTGGGGCGGGGGCGGGGCATGTGCGCGCAGGGCCTCTTAAAGTCCTCGGGGCGCGGCTTGTCGCCGGTACTATGGGCTCGGTGGGCGCGCGGAGGGCCCTGTGCGGGGTGGCGCTGCTCTGCGCGCTGGGCCTGGGCCAGCGCCCCACCGGGGGCCCGAGCTGCGGCCCTGGCCTCGTCCTGCGCGGGACCGGGACAGACAGGCGCTGCTGCCGCTTCTGCACCTCGGGTGAGACGCGGCCCGGTGGCGGGACTCGCGGGAGCAGCGCTGGGCCCCTCTACAGTCAGACTTGGTGGCTTTCACCGAAGGAGGGTGGGCACGGGGCAGCAGCGGTCCGGTGGGCTAACAGCCGTGGTGATCGGACCGAGGCGGAGGCACTGGCCAGTGGACACGGGTCGGGAGCAGGGTCAGGGGAGGAGGAGGGAGCCGCCCCAGAGGGGTGGGGTCCCCAGGTGGGGGAGGGTTGCCCAGGCCCCGCTGAGCGGGCGAGTAAGCCCTTGGCCACCACCCAGGCCACTTCCTGCCCAGTTTGGGGTCCCAGCACCCCCTCTGCCCCTGCCCCTGCCCCTGCCCCTGCCCCTGCCCAGCAGCTGCAGGTGAGGGGCAGCCGGAATGAGGCAGAGACTGGGAGCTTCTTCCTGCCAGGCCTGGGGGTGGGAAGAGGGTGCTCTGAGGGTCCCACGTCTCAGTGTGGCTGGTGCAGTGGACGGCAGGTGGCCTCCGGGTGTTGATGGGGCTCGAGGGGGCTGTGCAGGGTGGAAAGTGGGGTGGGGGGTGTAGGCCCAGGCCCAGGGGCCTCCGGAAGCCCCAGCAGGGACTGGCCCCTGTCACAGGCGAGGTCACAGCCACTGGGGTGGGGCAGCCAGGCCACATGGCTAAGGAGCTGGGCAAAGCCACCGGTGCTCACCTGGTACTTTCTGCCCCCTGGGGCTGGCTGAGGGTGGGGACCTGACACCCTCACACCCCCACCCCTGAGGGCGGGGAGGAGCCTGGAGGGCACACTCCTCCGGCTGCTGAGAGCTGGCCTGTCCTGCCTAGGCCAGGACGGCTGCTCTGAGTGGGACTGCACGTGTGTCCAGCCCGAATTCCACTGCGGAGACCCTCGGTGCAAGAGCTGCAAGCGCCACCCCTGCCCGCCGGGCCAGAGGGCGCAGCCCCAAGGTAAGTCCCCAGGGTCCAGGGCTTTGAGCAGTGGTGTGGGGGGTGCCGAGCTGTAGTTCGGGGAGCAGTGTCTGGGGGCGGGGGTGTGGCGTGTGGGCACATCCCCAGGAGGCACCAGTGTCCTGGGTCTGGCAAGGCTGGGCAGCTTCAGGTCCTTCCGGCTCTCGACCTGGGCTTCTCCGTCTGGAGCGAGGCTGCTGCTGCTGGAGGTCAGGCCTGGCTGTGAGGGCCACGGTGTCCAGGTGCGGCCTGGCTCTTGGGCCCTGGCTCTGCTGTCCTGCCCATCTGCACAGGGACAGCCAATGGAGCTTGGTCTCTGTCCCCAGGAGTCTTATCTGGGGTCTGGGGATAGACTCCTGGCGGGGGAGGGCAGGGTGTGGGGTCAGTGGGGACCCAGGCTCACCCTCTTCCCAGGACCCTCCCCAGGCTCCGCCCTCCAGCCTGCTGGACCAAGCCTGGGGCATGGCCTGGCTCCCACTGGGCTCTGCTGACCCCCAGCCTACTCCCCCCAGGAACCTCCCCTCAGCCGGGGTTCACAGCCCCGTGGTGCCCCAGTCTGCCTCCCACCCAGACGCCACTCCTGGAGCTGGCAGACATGGTACCAACTTACCAAGGGCCTGGGTCCCGTGGGCATCAGACACCTCTGCTGAATGGACGACGTGGGGCCATTCTTCTACAGACCCTGCCCCCAGACGGATCCCTGTCCTCGCCTGACCCCGCCCCATCCATCCCCACAATCCCCACAGCCTGTCTGTCCGTCTGTCCCCAGGGGAATTCATTTTTGGCTTCAAGTGTGTTGACTGTGCCGCAGGGACCTTCTCCAGGGGCCAAGAGGGCCGCTGCAAACCCTGGGCAGAGTGAGTCTTGGGTGGACCTTCCAGTTGCCGGGCGGCCGAGGGCAGCCCGCCCTGTCCCTCCCAGTGCGGTGACCCCACAAACGGCTCGCAGAACAGCAGCCCGAGAGGAGGGCTGCCTGGGTGGTCGGGGGCTGACCGAGTCTGTCTGTGTGTCCCAGCTGCTCCCAGTTTGGGTTTCTGACCATGTTCCCTGGGAACAAGACCCACAATTCCGTGTGCGCCCCGGAGTTGCCGCCCGCAGAGCCGCACGGCCCACTGGCCATTGTGCTGCTCGCTGTGGCCACCTGCATCCTCGTCCTGACCATGGCCCAGCTCGGGCTGCACATCTGGCAGCTGAGAAGGGAGCACACGTGGCCCCGAGGTCAGTGGTGCCGTTGTGCCCGGGGTGGGGGAGGTGAGCCGCTGGCCGCCCGCTGACCGCAGCCCTTTGCAGAGACCCAGCTGCTTTTGGAGGCGCTGCCGCCGGCAGAGGACGCCTGCAGCTGCCAGTTCCCTGAGGAGGAGCGGGGAGAGCGGCTGGCAGAGGACAAGGGCCGGCCGGGAGACCTGTGGGTGTGAGCCTGGCCATCCTCGCCGGCAGCCGGAGCCCGAGCCGGACCCTCTCCAGGAGCTACACCTGGGCTGACCCCGGGGGCAGGAGTTCTGTGTCCTGCTCTGGGCCTGGCCCTGCTCCCCCGACGGCAGAAGTGGGTGCAGCATGGTGACAGGGACGAGTCCCCAGACCGTGCAGAAGGGCAGCGGCCGTGGCTGGGCCCTGCAGGAGGGACAGATGCAGCCGTGGTTGCCTCCCCCATTGCTGGCCCTGCCGGGGTAGGGTCTGTGGGCTCCTCAGCACCAGGACGGGGGCCCTGCCTGTGGGTGTGCAGCACAGGACCTGGCTGCAGGTGGCGTCTAATAAACACTCGTTTGGTGACCTGGGTGGACGTATACCGGGGACGGGTGGGGACAGGGAGTCCAGGGCCATGCCCACTGTGGCCATGGTCCCCACACAGGGGGAGGGGCCATCTTCGGAGCTCCCAGCCCTGGGGGGTGTGTGGGGCACAGCCGGGCCCATTCTAGTCCTGGGCACAGCACTTGGTGGGGACCACAGGGCTCGGTGGGCTTCCTGGGGGAGGGAGAGGTGCTAGACGCTGGCCTTCTGGGCTTCTGTGTCCAAGCCCTTGCCCTGACTGTCTGCCCGGCACACGCTGGGACAGCTGAGTTCTGGGCCTGTGGTCTCGGGGCCTCCACTGCTCAGGACAGCCCTGGACACTCTGGTTTCTGGCCGCACAGCCTGCCGGCCTTTCCGGCTCCTGCTCTTGCCTCTGCCCAGAACCCAGGGCTCACTCAGCCTCCACACCTGGCACTTTCCGGTGGTGTGGCAGCCTCAGGGTGGCCTGGCTTTGTCCCTGTCTCCAAGGCTTCCTGCTTCTCTCTTCCACCTCACCTGCCCTCTGGGGAGGCCCAGGGACCAGCCTCCCAGCCACAGCGCTGGCTCCTGGCTCTGTCAGGGGCTGCTGGCACAGCCCTGCAGGGAGTGGCGGGCCCACCAATGGAGGGAGGTCAGTCTCAGCAGCACCTTCCTGGCCGCCTGGCCTTGGCCCCAATGCCCCACCACCATGGTGTCCCCTCGTCCCAGCAGCTCTCACCCCCCACCTCCCAGCATGCCCTGGGCAGAGGGCAGGGGGCCCAGCTCACAGCAGGTCGGTGGAAAAGAGGGTGCCCGGGCCGGGCACGGTGGCTCACGCCTGTAATCCTAGCTCTCTGGGAGGCCGAGGCGGGTGGATTGTTTGAGCTCAGGAGTTCGAGACCAGCCTGAGCAAGAGCGAGACCCCCGTCTCTACTAAAAATAGAAAAAATAAGCCGGACATGGGGCATGGTGCTCACGCCTGTAGTCCCAGCTACTTGGGAGGCTGAGGCAGGAGGGTCGCTTGAGCCCAGGAGTTTGAGGTTGCAGTGAGCTAGGCTGACACCCGGCACTCTAGCCCGGGCAACAGAGTGAGACTCTGTCTAAAAATAAAAAAGACTCCTGTTGGAAGCACTTCATCAGGCGAGCCCAGGTTCTGCCCGCTCCCTGAGAGTGAGACATACACAAAATTAGCTCATTGATAAGAAAATGCCTAGCGGGCGGGACTGGGACAGGAGGGGAAGGCGGTGCCCGCCGAGCCTGCACAGGTGTTCAGGGAAGAGGCCCCGAGACAGAGGGCGGAACCGAGAGGGCGGAACAGAACGCGCCCGGGACCTGCCCGCGCACAGCCGGCCGCCCCTGCCTACCCCCTGCCCACCCGCGCCCCAGGCCTGCTCTCTCCTGCGCCTCGCAGGCCCCGCCCCGACGGGAGGGCACTGCTGGCGGGACCTTCCCCAGAAAGCCCCGGGCCCGCCCGCGCGCAGGTACCGCCGCGGGGCTGACTCAGCGCGGAAACTCCTCGCGCACCGGCCCAGGCGTCAGCGCGGGGGCGCGGGGGATTCCCCTCGGGCGGCCCCGCTGGGGCTTCGGGAGGGTCTCGAGCACCGCCCTGCGGGATTTACTTCGTGCGGGACCGCCCGGCGGGCAGGGCGGGTCCACGTTGAGAAGGGCCCGTGCAGAGCCCCGGGACGGCCGGTGGGGCCCCCACGCGTGGTGTGCAGAGCCCCCCACCAGGGGTTTGGGGTAGGCGGTGGGGGCCGGGCAGCGCTCAGGGCTGCCTGCAGGCGCCGCGACTGGGGTGCTGGAGTGTGGGGAAGGAGCGTGGGGAGCTGGGATGAGAAGCTGTTGCCAGACCCCCCCCCCTTCAGAGGGCAGAGACCAGCTCCCGGCCTCAGCTTCCTGGGGTGGGGGCAGGTGTTCGCCCACCTACACGGCCTAGCAGCCTCCCCAGGGTGAGACCCTGCCTCTCCCAGCCTGGCTCTGGCCCCTCCCTGCTCCCCCTAGAAACCCACACCCCACCCTAGCGGCCTCCAGCTGTTTCAGGAAGTGGCAGCACACCTCACCCCCAGGGTTGGACTTGTATATTTTGTTCAGCCTCAGATAAGGGCCCAGAGGCCACCTCTATTCCCAGAAGTGCTTCCGGCCACAGGAGCAGCTCCCCAACCCAGCCCCCAGCCCTCCCTGGGATGGAGACTCAGCCAGTGTGGGTCCCCTCCCCAGCTGGACAGAGAGACCTATGGCAGGGTCAGGGAGGGGACCGCTTCCCAGAAGAAACTGGACACCAGCCACTCCCAACCCTAGTCCTAGGACAGGTGCAGGGTGCCCTTGAGGGGCAGATGGTCCCTGGCTGTCCCCAGCTACTGGGATGCGAGCCCGTTGACCAGGTGGGCACAGATGCCAGGCCTGGTGACGCAGGGGCTTTCCTCCCGGCCATCACTCCCTCCCCTCCCCTACTGGGCTCGCTCCTCTCAGCCGGGCCCCCACCTCCATGGGGAGCAGCTGTGTCTGGGGTGGGAGAGGAGGCAGACACCTGCTTCCCTCAAATCTCTTCTTCCCAGGGACTGGGCTCTTCTTACAGACAGTCCCAGGGCAGGGGGCTGGAGCGGGTATGGTAAGAGGAGCCCCACAGAAATGCACCCACCAACTCCCCAGAGCTCCATGGCTCTGTTGTTCCAGGTCCTGGCTGAGGGAGGCCCCAGTGGGGGCTGGGGGGGTCTGTGCTGGCCACCCCCAAGACAGAGGCTGCAGTGCTGGAGACAGGAGGGCTGCCTGGGTCAGAGCTGGGCGGCATGACCCCCCACACCCTCTGCAGGTGGGAGTCACTCCCTCAGTCCTCCACCCTCTGGACCCCAGGATTCACCCCTGGAAGAGACAAGGGGCGAGGGAGTGGAGGGGACAGGCAGGGGGAGGGGAGGAGGAGGGGAGAAGGGAGGGAACGAGTGGGAGAGAGACTGGGAGGGGTGAGGGAGACGGATTCTCAGATCAGCTGTTGGAGCTCATGTACCTTGGATCTCCCTGTGAAGCCACCTGGCCCTGCTCCCAGCTCGGGCCCTAGAGGGGTCCTGTCCACTTGTGCTGTGCCTGCAGCCGGTCGCATCATGTGCCTGCTGGGGGCCCCTTGTACCTCCCAGATCCCCAGGGCCACAGGTGCTGGGGTGCCCAGATGCCCCGCAGCCTGCCTCTCCCAGGTGGTCCCTGCCGTTCTGGGCTGGGGGCAAGTACACTGGGCTGGGTGGGGCTGGGGGCAGGAGAGAGAGGCGAGGGCGTGGCCCTTGCTCCTGGCGGGTGAGTGAACCTCGGTTCTGGGAAGCCTTGTTTATTGACGTCCAGGCTCTAGTGGGCTCCAGGGACCAAGAGCAGCAGATACAGTCCAGGCCTTCGGGGGAGCCTCAGGCTGGGGCAGGAGCTCAGGACAGGGCAGGCCACTGTCAGTGTGTACTTCTCGTCACGTCCTGAGTCCCCAGAAGTGACACATTCAATGACGGAGCTCCACTGTCCCGAGACAGTAGGGAAAGCCTCTCCTGAGGGCTCAGGTGACCTCTGCTGACCGCTGAGGCCCCTGGACCTAGGGGGTGAGGAGAGCTGCAATGCTCCGTGACAGCCCGATGCCACCATGGGACACAGCCCTGACCAGGGACCTCCACACCAGCCATGAGGCTGCAGGTGGCACAGAGGCCCTGGATGTCAAGGTGGCAAGAGCAGGGGGTTATGCCATGGCCATGCAGCAGCCTTGGATGCTACAGGGAACGTGGCCCCGACCCCAAAGGGTAGGTGGGTTTACCAAAACCTGGTGCCTTCACCCCTGTGGGCCCTTGCGGGGCTGCAAGGCAGGTGGTGGCAGAGCTTGGCCCCTCACGGAGGGCCCCCCACAGCTGCCCCAGGGGACTCAGGGCTCCTGCCCCTCGTCAGAGCAGCAAGAGCGAGCTGCCTACCTCTCCCCTGGGACCCCACACCCCCAGGCTGGGATGGGTAGGCCGGCAGCCCTCCCTCCTCACTGGGCGCCTTCAGGGCTCCGCACTCTGGGCGCGCAGGTCATCTCAGCCCCAGTCCCCACGCCTAGCCCTCCTGACCCCTCCTGTGTCTGGACCAGCGACACCGCAGTAGACGGCGCCCTCTAGCGGTGCCAAGGCCGTTGCACCCCAGGGCTAGGAGGTTTCCTCCCTGCAGCCCCTGGGCTCCCATCATTGCTCTAGCGCAGAGCAGGGACCTGTCCTGCCACTCGTCTGGGGCCAGGGCAGGTCAGGGGGAGGAGTATGTGACTTGGCGTGACACTTTGGGGGCAGGCACGCTGTGGTGGGCCTGGGGGCAGGGCTACCCCAACCCTGGGGTGTGGACTTGGGGGACAAGCCTTGTGGGCAGCCAGTGGGAGGGGCCTCTGTGCTCCCGCTTTGCCGCGGTGGGGGTGGGGGAGGCTGCAGAGGGGGCCATGGCCCCTGCCACTTGGTGTTGGGGGTCTGGGCACCTCAGAAGCCCTGGGCTATCAGAGTTCTCTTCCCAAACCCCCAGGCCCACGGGGACCAGGAGTGCTGGAGGCCACACAGGGACTGACCGGGCCAGTGCAGGCTCTCATGTGTCCTTCGTGGGACTGTCTGTCATGGCCCACAGCCCTGTGCCCCTCACCCCAGCCAAGGTCCTGGGGCCTCTACAGGAACACTGGGGGCTGGTGGGGCTGTGGTGCTCTGGGGCCCAGGAAGGAAGCAGCTGTGCTGGGCAGGGCCCCAGGG